ATGAGATTAATCTGATGGAGGAACTGACCCTGAAAGGCATTACTCAGTACTATGCTTATGTCACAGAAAGACAGAAAGTCCACTGCCTTAACACACTGTTCTCCAGGGTAAAGAGTCCATTTCCGTTTAGGACATTTAAAAAAAAAAAAAATTATATTTAGGGCGAGTAAAATTTCATGTCACAACAATGATGAATTCCTCAGGCTAGCCAAGATCTAGATGAGTTTGTTTGTTCATCAGAAAAGATTTGTAGAAATTTAGTATTACTTCACTTGCTCACCAAATGGATCGTCTGCAGTGAATGAGTTTAAACAGCTGATAAACATGGCATAATAATCCACAAGTAAGCGACATGACTCCAGTCCATTAATTAATGTCTTATGAAGTGAAAAGCTGCATGTTTCAGCTGTTTTCAGTCTTGTAAACAAAGTTATATACAACATATCTCATATCTTTCCTAAGTTTGTATTTTTTCACTGGAGGATGCAAAGTTATAGATGGAGGACTTTAGCCAAAATCTTTTCACTTCACAAGACATTAATTGATGGACTGGAGTCGCGTGCATTATTGTGATGTTTTTATCAGCTGTTTGGACTCACATTCTGAAGGCAACCATTCACTGCAGAGGATCCATTGGTAAATAAGTGATGTAATACTACATTTCTCCAAATCTGTTCAAGTGAAAGAAATCATTTACATCTTGGTCGGACTGATGGAGAGTCCATTTTCAGCAAATTTTCATTTTTTTGGTGAACTAGTCCTTTTATGCTGTAGTTTTGTTCTTTTGTGATTTCTAAAAAAAAAATGGCATTGTTTCTACAATTGACATGACCCAAGTACTTGTTCTCTCCACAGTTGCAGATAAATCAGTCCATTATCTTTTGTAACTCTACTCAGCGAGTGGAGCTTTTGGCCAAGAAGATCACGCAGCTGGGCTACTCCTGCTTCTACATTCATGCGAAGATGATGCAGGTACTGGATGTATTTTGCTGTTGTCAGTTCCAGTGTAATTCAGATCTGTTCAGTATGATTTACTAATTTCAGTCAAATACTTGAAACTTGTGACTGCAAACATATTGTAAACACATTTCATTCATATGGCAGGAATACAGAAACCGTGTTTTCCACGACTTCAGAAACGGGCTCTGCAGGAACCTTGTTTGCACAGGTGAGTGTAGTACATTATATAACATCTTACCTCTTTTTTGTGTAATTGCATAATAATAACCTCAACTGTAAAAATAAAATGTATGTTTTGTCAAGGTGTTTCTAACTCGGTGAATTTATGCTCTTGAAACAGATTTATTCACTAGAGGCATCGATATCCAGGCAGTAAATGTGGTCATCAACTTTGACTTTCCCAGGAATGCAGAAACATACCTGCATCGCATCGGACGCTCAGGTGAAGTTAACAAACAACAAAGATGTGGTGGATTAAATTTGGATTACATTATCTAGACTTGACACTTTTATATTAAATAGTTTACACTTTTATAATATGTATAATGTATCATTATATGGTCCCTGTGTTGAATTTGCAGGCAGGTTTGGACATCTGGGTTTGGCAATCAATCTCATTTCCGCTGAGGATCGCTTTAACCTGAAGACCACTGAGGACCAGCTGATGACGGACATAAAGCCCATTCCTGGCAGCATTGATAAGAGCCTGTATGTGGCAGAGTTTCACTCTGTGAACCCTGACTGTGAGGCAGAGGCACCTCAGCCCGGTGAAGGGTCTGAAGCTCAGTAGGAAGCACCATTAGAGAGCAGGTAAAGGCATACAGTTGGGAGACTTTATGTACTTATGTCATGTAATGGGGGAAATCATCTAACATTTGTTTCTTGATCTGAGAATACCTAGTATTGCAATGTCTGTTAATATTTCCATGTTGAATCAGTGATAATTGGACTGACTTTACCATTTGCTTTTTCTAGGGCAGTTGGAGAAACTGAACCAGACTTTTGCATCTGCTTTTGCACAAACCAGTAACTTTTCTGCTCATAACTTTCCTCATCTTTTCCACCTCCACAGTATTTTTCGTTTTTAGTTGCTGTCAGTGTTTTGCTTTTTTTTTTTTTTTTTTCGCGTTCATTGTTCATTTTTGGGGTGGTTATACCCTCTTCATAAATGACCATACACATTCCAGTTGAGACATGCAAGAATAAAAACAAAACATTCAGAGAAAAGTTCCTGTTTGATAGAAAACAATAAACAAGGGTAATGGTGAAAATAGAGCGTAGCGTACTTGAATCATTAGTTGAGAATTTACACACAAACCCTTGAACAAAACCTGTTGAACACAAGTGCCTTAATATATATCGTCTCTGTCTTAGATTAATATGTTATTGCTGTGTTAAAGTATGCCCAAAGACTAAACACAGGATTTTGCAGCATATTGGTGCTACTGGATACTGTGAAAGAATTATTGGTATTGATGAGAAGCATTTTCAAATTCTCTTCATATTCCGTCTGAGGCAGCTAGAGAAACCAGCATCCATGGAAATATTGCAGAGCTCAGGATTCAGGTGTCAACATGAACCATTGCACTAAACTGCCTGGGGAAAAAAACCCTGCATTAATATTGGTGCTTTTTGTAGTTTCATTAGTAGTCACAGACATGTAAATTTGGAATTCATAAAGAAATATAGATGTAAATTATGGTTTCAAACAGAGACTAAATTTGTGCAATTTGTTTGTATCTTGTGATGTTTTATATATATAATATATATAT